TTTCCCCATTAGGAGTCTCGTGAGGGCTTACAGTTTTTGTCTGCTTAGTCACTGCTGGGTCTCCAGCACCTAAAAATATACCCTAGTATATAGTAGGTGCTTAATACAAATTTATTGTGTGAATGAATGGGAAAAAATAATTTCAGGCAAATTGGGGAGGCACATGGGGATGAGGAGGGCATATGAGAACTAATCCAGAGGCTAGTTAGTTGGGACTGTTCATTCAGTTACTGAGCATATACTAAGTACTAGGTACTCTTCTAGGCACTGAGGATATGGGAGGAAACAAAAGACAGAAATTCCTGCCCGTGTAGAGCATACATTTGTTAAAAGTTCAGGAGAAGACCATATAAATGAAACAAATAAAATTAGATAGTGTGTTAGACAAGTGCTAAGGAAGAAAAATGAAGTAGGGAATGTAGGAATAAAGTATTAGGATGGTTGAAATCTCAGGCATAGGGCAGGCCTCACTTAGAAGGTGACTTGTGACTTAAGGCCTGAAGGAGGTCAGGGAGAGAGCCATAATGTCTAGGGAAAGAGTACACTGGGCAGGAGGAAGAGTTGATGCAAAGGCCCTGAGGTGGGATTGGGCCTGGCATGTTCTCAAGGCACACAAAAGAGGCCATTGTAGCTGTAGCAGAATAAAGGGAGGGGTAGCAGATGAGATCTGAGATATAATGGGAGCCCGGTGGTCATGGTGATACATAAGGTTGTGGGGAGGGAGAAGAATGACACACTGGGGCATAGCTAACATTTCTTGAGTGTCTACCATGTGCTGCTAGAGATACTTTTCTAAGCCCCTTACTTACATTGACATTTAATCCTTACAAAAGCCTTTGGGAGTAGGTATATTTAAAGGCTAATTTGCTTTGAGAATGAAACATCTCCATTTTACAGATGCAGAAACAGACTCAGAGAGGTTGAGTAACTTGCTCAAGGTCACACAGCTAGAACAGGGCAGAGGAGTGTGAGGCTGAAGACCCAGAGAGAAGAATAGCTTTGCAAGGGCTTTATTCGGTAATTCGGTGCATTGGACCACAAGAGGATGAATGAATTCTTCCTGGGAGATACTAGAACTTGATGATTGTGAGATAGAGGGTTCATCGAGTATTGGAAGGGGGAAGGGAACTCCTGGCAGGAAGGACAGGACATACATATCCTTAGAGATGGGAGCTGGATGAACTCACAGCTGGATGGGAGCTGGATGAGCTGCTTGTGCCCACATTGGAGCCTTCATACATGCTGTTCCCTCTGCCCAAAGCACCCTTCCCACAGATGTCAGCATGGCTTGCTACCTCTCCTCCTTCAGGTGTCTGCTCAGATGTCACTTACTCAGGAAAGCCCTCCATAGAGAGCTGGTGTTATAAGGTGACTGGGATCACTGACTGAGTTTGAACCCTGGTTCTGCTAACATCCAACTGTGTGACCTTGGTTAAGTTGCTTAACTTGTCTGTGCTTCCATTTCCTCCTTCGGAAAATGGGAGGATAATAATAATGCCCACCCCATAGTGTTGTTTTGAGGATTAAATGAGTAAAATGGTTACAGCACATGGTAAGGGCTGTATCACTGGTTCCTCATTTTAAAATTAATGTTATTATTCACAGCATGCACGTTAGTGTCTAATAGGCCTCTGAGACTGACCATCTCCAAAACTTGACCTCCTCATTTTCCCTTAAAACCTCTCTCGTGCAGTGCTCCCATCTTAGTTGAGCCAAGCTCCATCCTTCCAGGCCACAAGCCTAGAATCATCCTTAGTTCTTCTCTCACCCCCATTTTATGTCAGCAAATCTCGCTGCTGCTGCTGCTGCTGCTGCTGCTGCTGCCACTATTTCTCACTTGGACTACTGCAGTAGCCTCTTCAGCCACTAGTCGGTTCTCCTCACAAGAACCAGAAGGATCCTGTTAAATCCAAGTCACAGCCTGTCACCCCTGTGTTCACAATGCTCTCGTGGCTCCTGTCAGAGTCCTTACAGGGTCTAGAAAAGGCTCACTCAGTCTGGCCCCCGTTGTCCCTCCAATCTCATCTCCTGCCACTGTTCCCTTGCTCCCTCCTGGCCAGCCATGCCAGACTCCCTGCTCGTCCTCCAGCTTGCCTGGTGCCCTCCAGCCTCAGGCCCTTTCACCCGGGCTGTTCCCTCTGCCTGGATCGCTGCTCCCTAGGTCATCACAGACCTGACTCCTTCACCTCTTTAGGTCTTTGCTCAAATGTCACCTCCTCAGTGATGACCCTCCCCTGCCAATCTTTTAAAAAGTCTTTTCCTGTTTCAATTTTTCACCACAGCTCTCTCATCATCTCACATTCTTTACTCATTTATCTTGTTTTGTGTCTGTTTTGTGACACTAAAATGTCAGTTGCATTAGAGCACCTGGCCTGCAGTAGGCACTCTGTAAATGCTTGCTAAATAAATGAGATGAAGAACGGTAAACACATTCAAGTAACACAGATTACTAGAACTCTTATAAGGGGTCAAATTAGAAATATAATAATAAACAAAATATGAAACCCTGTATGCTATTGAGTCTTGAAGGAAGCTGTCAGATTTTACCTGAATTGTAGGTCCTGTTGCCACTGAGGGAGGAACTGCTAAACTTGCCTGTCTTTGCCACCAGGAGTCCCCCTCAACTCTTTATGCCTCTGAAATAAGCACGCCTTTGAAATAAACTCAGTGAGGGCTGCAAAGCCAGGACTCTCTAATCTGGACACTTTATGGCTCTATGGCTTGCGTAATTGCCTTAAATTGTGTCTCTGGAATGAACTTGAAACAGCTCAGACATAAGAGGATCATACTGTATATTTAATTACAGATTGAAGAATCAAGCTATAAATAATAGAGAGAGGTTCTTTTAAACCTGATTTGGAAGATCTTACTTATTCTTAACCCAGCAATCCCAGCCAGTGAACAGTTGATTGACAAAAGCTCATTCCATAAGGACCAGGAAGTTCAGCAAAGAGAGCAGTTATGGGGGGGACCGGGAAGGTCCAGTCCTCTGCAGTATGGGCCAAGAGAGCGGTCAGCATGTAGCAGTTAGTGTGAAGAGCAATTTAGCCTAAGGGTTTGAAAGCTTCAAGAGCTGGAACCTGGCTGCCTGGGTCCAAATCCTGGCTCTGCCACATAAAGCTGTGTGGCCTGTAGACAACATTTAGACATTTTGTGCCTTGGTCTCCTCCTCTATAAATTTGCAGTCAGAAGTACCTACTTCCCAGAGTCATGACAAGGGAGAAATGCGTCAATACCTATAAAAATAACAGTACAGGTTTATATGCCCTTATCTGAAACCCTTGGGGCCAAATGTTTCATAATTTCAAAATACTCAGATTTTAGAAAGGTAACGAGGTGCACATACAAGATGTTATGTAACAGCCTTAGTGGGCTCCAAAATAGCCACATTCAGATTTCTGCAGTAAAATGTATGAACAGTCACACTAAGTAAGGATCAATAAAGGCCACAAAGGGCCTTGTTTTGTTTCATATCAGGTTTTGCTGCCAAAAGGGTTATAAAGAAGCCTTCAGTTCTTAGAGTTTTTTGGAATAGGGGCTAAGGGATTATGAACAAATCAGAAACTAATACTTGTTTACAGTTTATCATACCCCAGACATATTATATTCATTCTGTACAGTAACTCTATGAGCTAGGTGATACTGTTATTATCCCTATTTTACAGATGGGGAAACTGAGGCACAAAGAGGTTAAAGAATATGCCCAGGGATCACACTGCTACCAAGTTGCAGAACCAGGCAGGATTCCAACCCTGGCAGTCTGGTTGTAGAGCCTGGGTAATTGTCCACTAGGCCATATTGCCTGACTAGAACAGTGCCTGGCAGGTATGGTAGTTATAGCTGTTATCAAGAAGAACATACAGAGACAGGAACAGGTCTGAGGAGTGTGGATAGAGGGACAGAAGAAAGCAGGCATTCAGTTCTAGAAAGGCCTCATAAAGGCCAGACCCCTGGGGCTGAGATTCGAACGATGAGGAAGACTTCTACACAGAGGAAGGGAGCCCTACATGGAGCGAACAGCCTTCGAGAGGAGCTGGCAGAAGGAACCTCCTGGAAAAGTTGATGTGCGATTTGGTAGAAAATGCAAATGAAAATGTTCAGGTGAACGGCATTATATTAGTTTTCTATTCCTGTTATAACAAATTATCATAAACCTAGCTGCTTAAAATAACAAATTTATTATGTAAGTCAGAAGTCCAGCACATGTCTCACCAGGCTAAATCCAGGCATCAGCAGGGCAGCGTTACTTTCTGGAGGCTCCAGGGGAAGATCTGTTTCCTGGTCATTAAGGTCGTTCACAGAATTCAGTTCCCTGATGTTGTAGGATTGAGGTCCCTGTTTCCTCACTGGCTGTCAGTCGAGGGCTGTTCCCAAGTTTAAGAGGCCACTGCCGCATTCCTTGGCTCAGCACCCTTCCATCTTCAAAACCAGCAATGGCAGGTTGAGTCCCTCTTGTGCTTTGACTCTCTTCTGCCTCTTCTGTCATCACATTTCTCTGAGCTGCCTTTCTCCCTCTGCTTTTATTAAGAGTTTCTGTGATTAGATTGAGCTCACCCAAATAATCCAGAATAACCTTTCTGTTTTAAGGTCTATAACCTTAAATCAATCTACCAAGTTCCTTTTGACATAATATACTCAGAGTTTCCAGAGATTAGGATACAGACATCTTCGGAGGGACTACAGTCTGTCTACTAGAGTCTGCCCTCTGGCCTCCAAAGATTCATATTTGTCTTACATGCAAAGTTTATTCATATTCTCCTAATGTCCCCAAAAGTCTCATCCCATTACAGGGGTCATCCAAAGCAGGGCTGACGAGCTTAGAATTTGAGTATGAGGGTCTTTAGAGAATGATGATGGGCTTTGGGGACAGAGGTGGAAGTAAGATGGCAAGAAAAGAATCTCCCTCCTGCTGACCTCTGCTCCATCCTGCCCACAGACTCTTGGCTCTGAGCCATCTACCCTCCAGGTACCCCTGGGATGGCGTGAACACTACTCCAACGATGGACCCCTCTGTGACGCTGTGGCAGTTTCTGCTGCAGCTGCTGAGAGAACAGGGCAATGGCCACATCATCTCCTGGACCTCACGGGATGGTGGTGAGTTCAAGCTGGTGGACGCTGAGGAGGTGGCCCGGCTGTGGGGACTGCGCAAGAACAAGACCAACATGAATTATGACAAGCTCAGCCGGGCCTTGCGGTACTACTATGATAAGGTAAGGCCTCAGAAAGTAGGGCTGAGGACCCCCAAATTTATATCATTTATTTCATTTTCTTCATCACTATAGCTATGACTTTGAAACCAAAATTAAACTTGGCCATTTCTTACCCTTACCCTACTCTCAGACCAATGCTGGGCTCCCCAAAACATTTTTATCTCGGTTATTTTCTTGTCTTACTGCTTTGGCTAAGACCTTAAAAGTCATGCTGTCCCACCATGTCCCACACATTTCATTTTCTTACCTTATTCTTATAGCCAGAACTTTAAAAAACACTATTAATAATGACTTTTCTCATCCTGTGCTTTGGAACCCCTGGATCACTCCTGCACTCCCCAGTTTTGTTTTTTTTTTCATAATCTGCTGTTATTCCAGAATAAGAAATCCTGAAGATTCTTGAACCAAAACCTCCATGAGGGTATCATGCTAACTTTTCTTTATCTCATCATCTGAGACCCTTAAACTTTTCATCAATTATTTTGTTTTCTTTTGTTATCCTTTAGCTGAAGTCTCCCAAATAAAATATATAATGCCAGCTGCACACCCCATCCTCTTGTGTTCCCAGAGCAACAGTGGTCCACTCCAATATTTATGTCAGTTCTTTTATTTTTTCATCTTCTTCCTCTAGCTACAATTTGAAATGTTCCTCATCTTATCCTCTCAGACTTCCGCATCAGTGCTGAGTTGGCCTTCTCCCCCAATATTTAGACAAATTATGTATTTTATTTCTTTACCTGACACTTCCAAAACCACATTAATGAATACCGCTTTTCACTTTTTTTGGGAAACAAAACCACCCTGTGACATACCTGACCAGCATGAAGATATCCCCAGGGTACCCCAGCACCACCCCCGTCGGGAAGCCTCTTTTCCTCCAGAACAGCCCTGGACCTATGTGTACACCATTAATCATTTATAGCATTTATTCCATTTTCATATTCCTTTAGCTCAAACCTCCAAAACAATATTAATAATGAGGCAACCTCACTGTGCTCTGAGACCACCAGAACATCCCAGACTCTCCAGACCCATCCTGAAATATCCCAACATGCTCTGTGACCCACCCAAGCCAGCCTTGAGATTCTGCCCCAAATTTATTATTAGTATTTTAATGTTCTTGTCTAGTTGCTATCAGTTACTTCATTTTCTATTTGCCTTAGCTTAAACCTCCACAAAAGTATTAAGATGTGGCTCCTCATCCTGACCTTGTCCTGTTCAACGTCTGCATCAATAGCTTTAAATAATCCTCTATATTAGTAATACATTACTAGTAATACATTAGTAGCACATTCTTCTATATTACTTTAGTCTCTTCCAACATTTATGTCAATTACTTCATGTTCCCATCTTACTGCATTAGCTAGACTCCAAACCTGTGTCCTGGCAGCCACCCCCAAGGCCTGATCCTGTTAACCAGACACCCCTGGTTCTTGGAGCCAGGAGGAAAGCTTGTTCCTGCACCTACTTCCCTAGGTGGGCCCCATCACGGAGAGAAGCCACTAAGTGTGTGCGGGGTTATCTGAGATGGGGGTAGGGGAATTGGAGAGATGAAGGTGAAAAGGGACAGAGGGAGTCTTGGAGGGGGACGGATGGGGGGAGACATGGAAGGGAGACAGGGGAAGAGGAGAAGGGCAGTAGGCCACAGAAGAATTGTGGAGGGGAAAATTGAGAAAGGGGAGAAACTGGGGAAAATACAGAGGGGGAATTGGGATGGGGAAGAAAGAGAGGGAGAAACTGAAGGAGGAGAAGGGAGGAGCCCAAAATTGAGAGAGGTGTGCGAGATGTCAAAAATAGGCTGGGAGGGGGAACGTATGGGGAGGCAGACACAGAGGCGGGATGGTATATGTAAAAAGACCGAAGAGGGATCTGAGAGAAGACACTAGGAGACATACCCTTCCACTGTCCCCCAAAGCCACACCCTCCTTGCACCCTGGCCTTTTCTTCTAAGGTACCCTATCCTGTCTCCTCCTTTCCCAGAACATCATCCGCAAAGTGAGTGGCCAGAAGTTCGTCTACAAGTTTGTGTCCTATCCCGAGGTTGCAGGGTGCTCCACTGAGGACTGTTCACCCCAGCCTGAGGTGTCTATTACCTCCACTGTGGCAAATGTGGCCCCCGCTGCTGTACATGCTGTCCCTGGGGAATCTGCCTCCGGGAAGCCAGGAACACCCAAGGGTGCAGGAGTGGCAGGCCCAGGTGGCTTGGCAAGAAGCAGCCGGAATGAGTACATGCGCTCAGGCCTCTATTCCACCTTCACCATCCAGTCCTTGCAGCCACAGCTACAGCTGCCCCTGCATCCAAGGTCCATCTCAGTGCTTTCCAATACAGCCGCAGCAGGAGCAGCAGTGCCCCCTTCAGGGAGCAGGAGCACCAGTCCAAGCCCCTTGGAGGCCTGCCTAGAGGCCGAAGAGGCTGGCCTGCCTCTGCAGGTAAGGGCTGGAATATGGAAATTCAGTAAGAGGAGGGATGTGTAATTTGCAAATGAGGGTAAGAGAAGGGATGTAAACGTTCTATTAAAGGAGATATAGTGGAAGGATAGTGGAAGGAGGGATGCAGGTGCCTTTGGAGAAAGGGTTGGGGAGATGGGCTATGCTCATGCTGAGAAGGTAGCTACATTAAGTGTGCTACTATTAGTAGTACACCCAACTTGTATTAGGTGCCCTGAACGTATGTGTTTGCTTAATGTACTGTTTCTTCCCACTCCCATAATCAACTGCAGGGCCTTTTATTTATTTTTAAATATTTTTTTAAAGATTTTTTAATTTATCTTTAGAGGGGAAGGAGAGACTGAGAGAAACATCAGTGTATGGTTGCCTTTCATGCATCCCCTGCTGGGAACTGGCCTGCAGGGAACCAGCATGCAACCCAGGCATGTGCCCTGACTGGGAATCGAACTGCGATCCTCTGGTTTGCAGACCTGTGCTTAATCCACTGAGCTACACCAGCCAGGGCTTCAACTGCAGGGCCTTTTAACTCACAGGTTGTTGGGGATGGACCCAAGAATTTGCAATTTTTTTATTAGCTTTTAGGTGAGGCAAATGCTGCTGGTCCTTAAAGTTTTTTAGAACTATGGTTTTTCAAGACTTGGAATAATATCCCCAGGAGTCTGGTCCTGCCCCATCCCATCCTTAGGGGCAACCCTCAGATAGAAGAAGCTGCCCCAGAAGTAGCCCTAGTTCCTTGGCAAAGTCCCAATCCTGTTGGAGGACCTGCCTCGATATGCAGTTATGCCCCTAGTACCAAGTGCTGTTTTCCAAGGGAAGTCATTGCTTCGCCACCCCAGCAATCTATACATACTCCCTCCTCTCCCAGGTCATTCTGACCCCGCCCGAGGCCCCGAACCTTAAATCAGAAGAGCTGAATGTGGAGCCCGGGGTGGGCCGGCCACTGCCCCCAGAAGTCAAAGTAGAAGAGCCGAAGGAAGAGTTCAACACTGCAGCCAGTGGGGAGGCGGGGTTTGTGCCGGAAGCCCCTAGGGCCGGGCGGGAAGTCCCTCCTGCAGTTGTTATGGAGACGGCAGCGCCCGGGGGCGGCCTCGGGGCTTCCACAGCTTCCAGCACAGAGATCCCCCAGCCTCAGAAGGGCCGAAAGCCCCGGGATCTGGAGCTTCCACTCAGCCCTAGCCTGCTAGGTGGGCCAGGACCCGAACGGACTCCAGGATCGGGAACTGGCTCCAGTCTGCAGGCGCCTGGGCCGGCACTAACGCCATCCTTGCTACCTACGCACACATTGGTGAGTGTCTGCGGAGGGGCGGGGCTGGCTCCCTGGGCAAATGGGATTGGCACGGGGCAGGGGACTAAGAGGCATTAGGTTGATCCTGAGAGCCAATGTGGTTATCTGAGGGAGCTGGAGAGTGCAGGGACAGGTTGATAAAAGAAGGACAAGAGCGAGGCTCCAAAGCTGAGGGATCTCGGTCAAATGAAGGGCAAGTCTGGGAAGTTTTATGGGCGGAGAATGAAGGAATGAGAGGCCATGTGTAGGAACTGTTTCTCAGTTGGGGCATGGAATGCAGAACCTGAGCTGAGCAGGGCTTTTTGGCCTGGGATTTGCTTAGCGGGTTCTGTGAGGTAAAAGGTGGAATATAAGGGTTGGGGGTTGAGCCTGAGCTATTGGGATAATGACTAATGAGGTTTGAAATCCTCATGTGAACAGCGTCTTGTAGGTGGTCTTACCCAGTGAGGCTGGGGTGGACTTTCAAGAGTTGGGAGGGGTTGTCAATGTAAAGTTGGAGAGAGATCACAGACACATCCTTGGTAGTTATGGTGTAGGTCTGTGTACTTCCGGGGACTGACCTCGGAAGTCTTAGTAGAATATCTGGTGGGGCATGTATCAAGTTCCTTCCATTCTCACACACCTACCTGCCCGCCGCTTACCTGAGCTCTGACTACTGCTTCCCCACAGACCCCGGTGCTGCTGACGCCCAGCTCGCTGCCCCCCAGCATTCATTTCTGGAGCACCCTGAGTCCCATTGCTCCCCGTAGCCCGGCCAAGCTCTCCTTCCAGGTAGGCTCCTCTTCCCTCATCTAGGAGTGGATGAGAGAACCTAACATGGCTCCCATCCATGACCTCTCTCTATTTCTGTCCCCAGTTTCCATCTAGTGGCAGCGCCCAGGTGCACATCCCTTCCATCAGCGTGGACGGCCTCTCCACCCCCGTGGTGCTCTCCCCAGGGCCCCAGAAGCCATGACTACCACCACCACCTTTTCTGGGGTTACACCCTGAACTTCTCTCCAGCCAGCTGTCTCAAGAAGAAACATAGTTCAGCTGACAGACTCGTGCTATAGTCATGGTGGGGTAGGGTTTCTTAGGAAGAAAGATTTCTCAGTAATTTTTCCATAGGAAAATTATCTACTCTCTATTTTTGGTCAGTCTCCCAGCGGCCGCACTTATACGTCTCCTACCACAGTAGTGGGGACGGTTTATTTATTTATTTTTTGAAGGCCACTGGGAGGAGCCTGGCTCAGCCCTTTTCAGGGCAGTGGTGAGGACATCTCCAGCTTCACATTTTATCCCCCCAAGATGAGACAGTTGGGGTCTGGCTTGAGAAGGACCTTTCTTTATTTATTTCTCAGCCTGCCCTTGGGAAGCTGAGGGAGCCCTGTCTCCATTTTGGGGTGTGGGTAGAAGAGCTAGCATGTTGTGGTTTCTTATTCCTGGCTGTCCCCAAGGGTCCGGGAAGAATTTGTGCCATTAAATGGTTTTGGAGCCTTGACCAAGTCAGACTCACCCTCGGAATAGGTATTCTCACCACCACCCCCCAGCCTTTTTCTCAGACAGCCTGTCCTTTATCAGCCACCTTTTTGGCCAGGGACGAATGCCCCTTTTGTTCTTCTGCCCCTGAGAAGCCATTCCCGTGTCTGCCAAACTCCTGGGGTCCTGTCTCTTACCTCCCAATGGAGGGTTATTTGGGGGAGTAGTCCCCGTCTGGGGGACCCCTCCAGCCAGTACTCCAGGTCTCCCTGTCCCCTACCCTCTGCCATTTTGATAGTATAATCTATTTTTAAACAGGGCTTTTCGATAGGGGAGAGGGGTCATCTCTTCCTATATCTGAGATGGGGTGGGTGGGAAGGAAGGGATGGGGATGTATCTTCCTGCCGCCCCCAAGTGTTTATTTTTGATACCAAATGTGTATTTTCGGCTCCCTCCCAGCCCCCCAATTTCCTGCGGGCGGGTACAAAGGACCCTTTAAGTGTCCCTGGAGTTGGGAGGGAGGAATAGAAGGGCGTAAAGCCTGTCCTATGTGATTTCCAGGCTGGAGAGGATGGGTTCGAAGGCCTCCTGGCTCACCACCTGTCAGCACCAGCCCAGCCCAGGCCTGGACACCTGGGGGTTGGTGATTTGGGGGACGGTGCTACACCTGTCTCCACTGTTCAATTTGCTTCCCCCAAAATGGATCATTTTTTTTCTAAGAGTCCCAGAGAATGGGGAATTGTTCCTGTAAATATATATTTTTAAAGGTGATGTTGGATGCTGCTAGCATTTTTTTTTTCCCTGATGCTGTGAGGGCTCAGTGTGACTGGCATTGCTGTGTATAAAAGGTTACAAGGGTGTGAGATTGACTGTGGGAGAGAGAGTATGATACTTTGCATCAGAAACAGTAGTAGAGACTGTAGTTTGGTAACTGGGTGTGAAAAAGAAACTGTAGAAAGCTGTGGTTGTGTGCATCTCTGTGTGAAATCATGTGTGAGAGAGTAGAAGTTATAACCACAAACTTGACACTGTGTTTGTGTGAGAAATTCACTGTACAAATGAATGAGTGATTAAGGTACTGTACAAGAAACTGGTGATGCGTGTGAAGTAATATTTATGAGAAGATAGTAGGGACTGCGTACCAGCCACTGTTTCACCAGGTGATGGTGAACGAGACAAACAGTGATCAGAACAAGGTGTGAGAGCCTGTCAGCCTGTCAGGGACTATGTGTAGGCAAAAATTCACAGTATGTAAATAGGTATCTCAGTGTTGGGAGATGGATTATGTGTGAAACTGTTCGTATAAGGCTGTTGTTGCAGTTAAAGTCATGGGAGCATATGTGCGAAGTTGATTGTATGAGAGAAAATGGCTGTGAGGCCAAATGGGTGCCTGAGACACAAAATAATGAGAATGCATGATTATGTGTATGAATATTGTTTGTGTGAGAGTAGCAAAGACTGAGAAACTGAGAAAAAGTGTCTGGGGCTGGGAGAGTATGAGAGGCTGCAATTGTGTGTATACGTGGGTGTGTGTGTGTGTCTATACCTAGAACTAGTAGGAAATTAATCGACAGTTACTACTCCAGTCTAGCCCACAGGCTCAGGGACTGAAAGTGAGAGAGAAAATGATGCTGAGACTGAGTGTGTCTGAAATGGTGCAAGAGGCCCCATAAATGTAAGAGATGATAAGAAATAAAGTCAGTGCTGTGTGAAAGTCAGTGCTGAGCAGTTATGGGAGAGTGTGGGTTTTTTGTGAAGCATTTCATAAGAGAGTGTAAATCAGACTATATTTTTGTGAAAAACAGACTGCAGGACACTGAGAGACTGTGATTGGTGTATCCAGGAAACCAGCAAAGCTATAGTTGAGCTTGAGGCTACATGATAAACTAACTGATTAAAATGATGGTGTAAATGATTAAGATGGACATGAGAGACTGTGTATAAGGCTTACTGAGAGCCTAGTACCAATTGTGGATTAGTGGCCACAGATGTCAGAAACTGACAGGGAAAAAGACCATGACACTGAATGGGTGGCTGAGGCAGTGTCTGAGAAACCAGCTGTGTATCTATGTGTCAAACTCTTTGCAAGAGACGTTATTAAAGCCTATAACTCAGACTGGTATGTTGGAAGCTGCTTGAGAAGAAATGTGAGACTAGGTAAGACAGTGTCTGAGATACTGTGTAATTATGTGTATGTGTGAAACTTAGTTATAATCAGAAACTGGATATGTGAAATGGGGCCTTGAGTATGAAGAAGTAGGGGAGATGGTGATTGTGTGTGTGTGTGTGTGTGCGCGCGTGCAAAAACCTTCGTAAGAAACTAGTGGTGGCTGTAAATCAGTAACTTTGTGTATGTGAGAAAATGACAGCTTAAATCAATGGTGTCAAACTCGTTCTCACCGGGGGCCACATCAGCCTTGCAGTTGCCTTCAAAGGGCCGAATATGATTTCAGGACTGTATAAATGTAACCACTCCTTAACTAGGGGCAAGGAGCTCGGCACTGCTGCCGGGTAGAAACAAGGTGCCGGGCCAATAAAACAAGGTGGAGGGCCGGATTTGGCCCAGGGGCCTTGTGTTTGCCACCTGTGCCCTAAGTGGTTGAAACATCAAAAGGTGTGAGTCTGTGTGCACGTGGAAAACTGACTGGTGCGAGTAAATATTGGTCATGTTGGCCGAATGAAACAGGCTATAAGATATGATTGTGTGTATGAATTGTTAGTAGGAGATAATTGTTGACCGGAAATGCGTGACAGAGAAAATGACTCCTTGAGTGAGTGAGTGAGTGAGTGAGTGAGTGAGTGAGTGAGTAAATATCTGAGAAGCTGAGTGATCCTGTATGTATGTGAGCCTGTTTGTATGAGACTGCAGTAGAGGCCACAAATCCAGAACTGTGTGTGTAACTATGTTTAAAAATAGAGAAAATGATCGACACAGAATGAGAGTGCATGAGAGACTGTGGAGTAAATATGCCAGGCCTATGAGAAAATCCCCTTGTGTGTCCTCGTTCTTCTCAGTCCCCTCCTCCTCAGCCCCTGTGCTCCATTTCCCCTCAGTTCTGCAAAACTTGAAATGCCGGACTTCCCCTGGGCTTTGCCTTGGTTCCCTTCCTCCTTCTCAGAACTCTGACCCAGTCCGGGCACTTGAGACTATTCCCCCACCCCCACCCCTGTGACACCCACATTTTTTCCTCTAATCTAGACTCTCCCTCTTAGCAGTTCACAGAATCTCTCGAGTTTTATTTAATTTATTTCTGCAGTCAGCAGATTTTTCTTGGACCCTGCAGACACAGCAGTTAACACACCAGACAAAACAACTTACCCTTGTGGAGCTGGTATTTGAGAGAGGGCAGCAGACAAGAAACCTAAATACATCATACAAGGTGGCAGTACAATAATTACATGAGACAAGACTCTCACTCTTTGTTTAAATAAGAAACCTGCAGAGTCATTTTATTGCCCAAATATGTGGGAGAAGAGGAAAGCACCGACAGTCCTCTTCCACAGTGAATCTTATGAGTATTTATTTATACAGCTTAGGATCAAAGGAAATACCAGTTATAACATTATTACCAGGGCAACGGATAATTAGATAAAGCAGCCAACCTGAAGTACAGGTTTCTTGAATTTGTTTTCACAAGATAACATAGTGCTAACGCCTGAAGTCTTAGAATGCTAACAAGACCTCTTTGTTCAAAGCAAACTTTTTGAAACGGGCGACTATTATCAGGAAACAAGTACATCTCAGTGTCAACATACCTTATCGCCCATAAAACAAGATTAATATTCTTGAGAAAATTCTGTTTTATCAGTAAACCTGACCAAATCAAATTCTTTTACTCGTGCAAAATAGCATTTCTCACTCTAAATTGCAGGGGAGATTGCCTTCCTACCTTTCTTAAATGCCTTATTGTTATTTTAAATATTCTTTTAAAATGGCTCATTAAGGGTTATAAAAAGATAGCAAGTCCATAGAACTCAGTTTTACCTGCATGGAAAATGGGTTGAAGAGGAATTAAATATTAACAGTATAATAAGCATGTAGAATAGTTTTTCTAGATGAGACCTACAAAGGAAAAGAGTGGTCATGAACTGGAATGATGGTTCTTTAAGTGCGGTCCCCAGACCGGCAGCGTCATTGTTACCTGGGAGTTTCTTAGAAATGCATGTTGTTGACTCCAGACCTGCATGATTAGAAACAGGTGCATTCCAGCAGTCTATGATTGGACCAACCTTCCAGATGATTCTGACGCACACAGGTTTAAGAGTCACTGGGCTAGAGAGTGACAAGGGTGCCGTACAAAAAGGGTATCTGGGGAAGGCCTCAGGGAGGTGACATTTATCATCTGTGTATTCTTTTAGAGTGTAAGCCCCCTGAAGACCAGGATTTTGGGCTTATTCTCTGCTCCATCCAATACTGAGAATAGCATCTGGCTCCAATAGGTGACCAATAAATGTTGGATCAAAGTATGTAACAAACACAGAGCATCTACTATATGCCAGACACTGTGCTAATGACTTTTTAAAACAAGCGTGGCAACAAACCCTATGATGTAGGCTCAGGGAGCAGGGTGTCACCTACCCAAGTTACTCTGATGGAATATGACCAGGCCAGTTCCTCCCCAACCACCCCCTCCACAGGTCCTAAGGTTGTCCCCAGCTGGGCCACTGGGACAGTGGCCATCTCCAATTCACTCCTGAATTGTCCACACACTCTTGCCACTTCTCCTTCTCACTTCCCATGTGCTGACCTCCCTTCCCCATGCTGACCACAAGGGACCTCCCTTTCAGGAAAGAGAAGGGTGGGTTAAGTCAGGATGGAAAATGAAGCAATTACCTCAATGCTAACTTCACCCCATGAGGAGGGACACACTCCTTTCAGCCTTGCTGAACATCCCCATGAGGTTGATCCTGTCACCATAGGGAGTGTGCATTTTACAGATGAAGAAACAGAGTCTCAGATTCAAGTGACTTGCCCAAGGTTACACAGCTAGGAAATTCATCTTGCTCCAAACTCCTGTGCTTCATTTGCCTTCAGTAAGAATTTGGTCAAAGACCATTGACTGAGTGCCGAAGGGCTGCTGGGCAGAGCGTCAGTTGCTAGGGATACAGTAACAAAACTGGACTGAGAGGGAGACAGGAAGTAGGGAGGGTTGAGTGGAGAAGGTGGCACAGGGGCAGAAGTGACAAGGGAGAGGTGGGAGCTGTAAAGACCTGTCCTCCCCACCACTGCTGCTCTTTGCCCTCCCAGTTCCTCCTGCCCCTGGTTCCTCTTTCCTGCTGATTCCGAGAGCAGGTCAGCTCACAGAAAGTCAGGCGGGGCTGCGGGAGTGCAGTGCTCAACATGCTTAATCCAGCACAGGCCTCTCGGTCACTGCTGCTGTGGCCGCCACTGCTGCTGCTACTCACCCTGCCAGCCACAGGTAAGTGAGTGAGACCAGCTTGCCCCCAGAGGGGCCTGGGGCCACCACACCCCTGACCATACCCCCTCTCCCCACCCTGTTACAGGCTCAGACCCTGTGCTCTGCTTCACCCAGTATGAGGAATCCTCAGGCAAGTGTGAGGACTTCCTGGGGAGAGGTGTCCGTGAGGAAGACTGCTGTCTCAACCCTAACTATGCCTTCCAGAAGCCTGGCAGCAAGCTCTGTCAGGCATGCAGGTTAGGGGGAGCCTGGGGTTGGGGGAAGGCAGGAAGGACTGTCTGCAGGGTGACCCAGAACTCAACTCTATCCTTTTCTGGGGTTCCTAAGGACGGTTCCAAGGTCCTGATCATG